TGAACTCACAATGTGACCAGCTCCCAGTTGGCTTGATAGCTCAGTTGGTAGAGCACTGCACTGGTATCACAGAGGTCATGGGTTTGAATCCCATTCAAGCTTGAATTTTTTTCAGCTTTAATTTCACAACTGCTTAAGTTGTGTGTATGACTGCCATGATCTACAATGTCTTCAAAAAGAACAAATAATAAAAATAATGTGCATTTTAATACTAGGAAAACAAGTAGATACTTGACATGCTAGCTTACCAAACACCTTTCATGGTGGAGATTTGATGGATTTGAAAATTGGTTTGACAATGTCGATGATGATTATGGAAATGAAAATCTAATTTTTGCCTTCCCCACTCTTGTTCAGTTTTGGCGTGCGATAGCGGTAATTTGCAACATGAGAAATGTCATGTCAAATTTTCAAGAGAATTTAAACCTGGACATTGCCTACATGTAAGTCATAATTCTTTCATGGATATTGCCTCAGTCATACTTTTTTTCTGGCTGTGGCCGTGTTTGAACAGTAGCTAGTTTAACACTTATCCTCTGAGAGGGCATGCATTTTTTTTGTACAATCATTACCCATTTTCTTAATCCTGGTTCAAAAATGATCTGTATCTTCTCACTCTCATGTTCTTTGTAACTAATTCACAAGCACTAAACAAACTCGTGCCTATTTTCCACTCAGTGTGAATTTCTTTGTGATGATACTGAACAAGATCAACAATCCAAGATCATTCACATCATTTCACATCAAAGGACCAATCAGTCGTTGCCCAGAGTGGATTCAATGGTTCCTTTGACACATCTACTGTGATCAAAGTGATCACTGATCTTGATCCAGAAAAAATAATAAGGGATGCTAGTCGCAAAAGTTGAATTAAACCCTTAGGCATGACTAATAAATCGTTTTATTTGACCCATAAAAGAGATATGACAGCATTTTTTTATTATGTCTTTGAATGCACCTCAAAAGATACCTTGATGGCTAAAAAGAGTGGTGTTTCATCTACAGTTTCTCCCTGAACACCCTAAGCAAGACCAAAATTTGTGATTTGCACCCCATCCACTTAGTGTGACGACAAGCATTCCTGACCTTTTCTTGTGTGGATCCCTGCCCCTCGGAATAAGGCACCCTTTGGTAAAGTCTGCGTATGAGGCTGGAGCTTATCACAGTTTCTGTGGCACGCAGCAACTAGGAATATTTCTACTTCCCCCTAGATGGGATGCTAGTCCATCACAGGGTTGCCCCCAGCATTAAATTTATGAGTAGTTATTTTATACACCGGGGTGGAGAGAGACACTGTGAGAGTAAGGTGTGTTGCCCAAGAACAGAACACAATGCCCACGGCCAGGACTCAAACCTGGATTGCTTGTACTGTAGTTGAGCACACTACCATGAGGCCACCACACCTCCACACAATAAGGTACCCATACTGGCTCCTTACTTTTACTGGTGAGAAATATGTTTCCCAATGCCAAGCAACTGTCATAAACATTGAGCTCTTTACAGTTGTCCTCATACAGCTCCATTGCTTTGGCAAAGTCATTCTCCACTGTCATGTAAAACTCTGCTAAGATGTGGCAAGCTACGACAGACAGAATAATATTACTCATTAGGTAAGGTGGTGGTTATAAAAGGAGAAAGGACTAGGATGAGATAAGAGCGTGGCTTTTCTTACCCCATTCCCCCCTGCTGCACCAACTGCCTCTTTTGGATCAACAATTGAAAATGTGCACTGCATGCAAACTATTAGTAAGATATTAGTAACCAGCCAGGCTCATAGTGTAATTGTTAAAAAGACAATCATGATCACAAAATTATCTTGAAATCTGACTGTAATACTGTACATAAATTTTGATTTTATTTTTTGTTGGAGGTGGGGTATAATTTTGGCATAAGTCATAGGGGTTGGGGCAGTGGATGTAAAATAGAACCAGGCCATTATGCAGAAAACTGATCAATTAAATTGTTTAGTGAGAGGAATAGATAGCACAATTTTATGTGAATAAACAAATAACGTTGACCAGTGCATCCACTGTCAAACTACTTCAGGGCTTCAGGAACTCCATCAGCACTCATCTTTAAGAAATACAAAACATGTACCATGTTTCTGTCAAGTTATAGAAACACAAGTGGAAGTTTGGGGGAATGAGAAATGCTGTGGAACACGAGCCACAAGCAAGTGTCTCCACAGCTTTTTTGAGTTCTCCCAAACTTTCATGAATATTTCTATAACTCAATAGAAACACAGAGAACATGTTTTCTATTTCTTTTAGAAAACACCGTGATGAAAAAAGGAAAACAACTTGTTTACTTTGATTATCAAAATGTAAATTCTCTTTGCTCGCGCCATCATTACCTCAACAGCTTGTGCTAGTTCTGTGTTTCTATCGAGTTGTAGTATAAATCTACTAGTGTTCTATCACGAATGCTGTCCTCTGATTGGCTACGCTACTCACTATCTATTCTGTGATAGATAGCGAGTAGTGTAGCAGTACGCCCTTGTTAACAAAATGACGGCCGCTTATTCGCGTTTTTGAGGTGTCTATGAAGAGGATTTAGATAAAGTATTGAACGAATAGTAGATTTATACTAAAACAATTAGATCATTCGCTCTCGATTTCTATGCGATATTATGCGCCCTCGTCAGCTATCACGCGATAGAAATCTCGAGCTCATAATCTAATTGTTAAATAGAAACACGATTTTTAACCAATCCGCGCGCGTATTTTCTTACGACTTTTTTCTAGAAGTTTCATATTAACTTTCAAAAGCATACATTCCCTCTTCCTTTGACCGTAACACTCGTGTTTGTAAATTTCACCCATCTGCTGGGAAAACTCTTCAGCAGCCTCAGCTGCTTTTTCCGCGTTAAATGAACCAAACGGCATCACGTCGACAAGAAAGTACTTCTCGATTTATTATGTCATAAATCCAAGAAGGAAAACTGTCAGGCGTTCCTCGGAGAGCTACGTGCATGCATTTTACAAGCTGTCCACTGACCAATTTATTGCCGGCTAGGGCTGTCAACGTAGGTGACGTCACGGAGTGGTGGCTGTTCCTTCTCTTGTAGTTGTCTACGGAGCCTTCCAGGCATGTTTCCTGCTCGAAATATGGGGTGAAAACCAAAGTCTGCTCTCTCTAATCGGGGCGTCTGTCTCCTGTGCTTACCATGGATTCGGGCTGGGCTCAGTTCCGCGTTCTTTATAACTTTGAACCGCGGGATGAACGGGACATCGCTATTCAAGAAGGTGATATTATGATTGTGGCGAAACCAGTCATGGATATGTCGGGCTGGTTAACTGGAGAAAACACTCGTACAAAAGACGTTGGAGAGTTTCCTGGTACATATGTGGAGTACATTGGTGATGTAGAAGAGCTTCCTGAACCAGCGAAACCTCCCACTCCGCCTCCGAGACCTCCACGGAGAAGGTTGACCGTGGGAAGCAACGCACCAACAAGGCAGGAGTCTAACGGTCAGTGTGATTCTTGTTGTTGTCTCTATAACCGTGATTATTGTGTTTCGTTTTCACCGGAACTAGCTGAAATAACATCTTTTCTTCGTAGTTGGCCCTTAAGAGAGAAATTTCAGCTGCTTTTTCTACACTATCCGCGACATTTTGTGGCGAGATCTGCAGAAAGAGTACAGTGGAATTACTTGGCCATAGCTTCCTTATGAATTTAATAAGATTACACTCAATTCAGTAGCCGCCTGCTTCGCACAGTTTTTCGATGTCGAGTGGATGCGTTATTTGAATGCTTGGTTTTGAAGGAAAGTATGAGATAAGCAATTCAAACGGTGGAAATTTTAATTTAACGTGCATACTATATATATTGCAACAATGTTTGTTTGTATGAAATAACCTTGTTTATTTCCTTGTATGTTGTGCACAAATGAATACAATGTGAAATGCCGGTAACATAATACCAAAACTAACAATAGCATTTACATATGCTGACATACGCTTACACTGCATCATCCTCAGACTTATGAAATTACAACTTTTAAGTATAAAGATGTGTATATACCCCGTGATCTCAAAGGATTGCTTAAATAATACAGTATTATTTCCTCACGAGAATGCATTCAAATAAGTTTCCTTGTCATTTGATTCTTTTTCCTATGCCTTCAAATCAAATCAAACACTTTATTAGGCACAGAATTCATAAATCTAACAATTTACAATGAAGCTGTGTATCCAAAGTTAATCTATGCAAATGAAAAATAGTACAAATTTAAATATTAGCTGTGCTAACTACAAACAGGTCGTAAGTTTATCTTTAAAAATTGAAAATAGTAATACTGTTATTTACAATCGGGTTATGATACATACACTGTTGAGTGGTTTTCAATTGAATGTTGTAAAACCAAAACAAAACATAAATTATTTACACTCAACCAATCTCAAACTTTAGTGAAACCAAAACCAAAGTAATTGCTTGATAACTTTGCAAGTAAAAGCTAATGATACAAAGTTCCGACGTTTCCAGGAAACGTAATAAATACTTTTATTAACCTTTTCCCTAAACTCTGCTTTCTGCAGTTTGAAAATTTTGCAGTATTTCTTTAATTTACAGATGAGAGTGGAGGCCATTCCCTGTCTGAGACCACGGCAATGAGACCGGTTTGGTGTTGCCAGTGTAAGTTCAAATAAATATTTAAATGCAGCTACATGTAATGTAGTCTGGTTTTTGCTTTCTTTTTTCACTTTCCCAGTTTCATAAACTCTTTCCCCTCTCACCGTCCCTTGTCTTCTTCATTTCCCTGTCTATTGACTGTCCCCTTCCCTCCTTACTTCCTTCTCTACCACCCCCCCTCCCCTCTCTCTTTCACTCAAGACATTCACTTCATGTTTACTCATGTGTTCTAAACACTGGTAAGTCAGGGCTATGGTGACAGCTTGTTCTGTTGTTAAGTTTGTCTTATCTAGAGGTGCTACTGTCTCTCAGGAAAAGTACAGAGATTTTAGCACCTTCCCTGATTTCCCAGCCAAACTGCCTTTAATTACTATGCATGCATATAGAGGCAAATTATCCTGCAGTGTTTTACTGAGTCTTTGGTTTGCTTTGATCTTCAGGTGAAGATTTCATATGGGGAGTTGGAAGTCCAGCTTACAGATGTTCAAGTAGGTTTTTGTACTATGCTAATTAAACCTTATGAGCAGCCCTTTTATAATTATGTAAAAATGAAGTCACAGTCAACTCTCTCAAAATGCACACCACTATTAATAACATTGTCAGGGTCCTTAGGTTCCTTACCATGAAATCCTGGGTGCCCAGCACAATAAGCTTAATGATATGAAAAAAGTCGGTTTTTCCAGTCGCTCAAAGGCAAAAGTAAGTTGCCTGTGGTACACAGGCGCTTCTAGGGCACAGCCCTGAACATACTAGACGCCTCCATGATCTGAAAGTCATGACTGTTTCACTGGTCCTGGCTAAGTGTCATTATCTTTTAATTTTTCTCTGATATAAACAAATTCTTTTGGGCAGACAGCTCTCTAAAATGGACAGCTAGAGTTGTGTCCAAATGTGTCAATCTTAGAGAGAGTTTACTGATACTCGTAGTTATGTAGAGTTCAAGGGGTTTCATTAAATTAAATGATTTCAGCAACTGGTTCTCAGAGGTGGGCAAAACGATTTGAACTGAACTTTGTTAGGTAAGAAAAACTTTCCAATAGATGGACAAACCAGACAGGCAAAATTGTAATCGCAGCTGGTCAATCTGCTCAGTGCATGGCCCTTAATGAAACTCCTGGAGTTCTGAGTACTTTTTTACTTCAAGTGAATCGGCCATTTCAGGCATGGATCTAGGGCGAGGGTGCAGGGGCTGCGCACCCTCCCCCCTGAGATGAAGTCTTCTCTTTGTATTCGCTTTTAAATTTGTTTGCCTCATTAGTCAGTTATGCCATTCCTTAGTGGTGCACCCCCTCCTAAGAAAAATCCTGGATCCTTCCCTACATTTACGATTGGTCAGTAACAGCAGTCAAAGAAAGGTGTGTTCTATAGCCCAGTGCTAGCTGATTTTCCAGTTTGGTTGCTGAATTCTGTCCTGGGAGTTTCTTGAGGAAATTCAAGTAACAGAACTGTAAGAGGTGAATTTTTTTAGGGCTACTGAGAGTAACTTCTGGGCTAGTAGACCTTAGTTTACAGCTACATTTGTACCCCAAAGCAAGCAAGAAACTTCCTTTTTGTGGAACCTTGAGTAATATACTAAAAAATTATTTCTTTACACAATCTCTTACCTCAAGTCTTGTTTCCTTACTGTTCATGCTGGCTTGACAAAATGATTTATTTTAATGATTTTAATTGGTTTTAAAAACGATGGAAATGAGCAGAAGTAAAACACCAGCGTCTCGACTGAGCCACGTGTTTGTCAGCTAGATATGCGCAATTAAACCGGAAGTCTGATACTTTCAGACTTCAAATCAAATCTTTCCAGGGTCGCTAGCTTCCTGACCTCTTGTCAAGGGGAACAAAGATGCTGGGTATGACATATTAATTTTTTTTCTTTGAATGTTCACGGTCAAGTCAGCAGAAAGTCCAGGAAATCTCAGGACTAGGTGGTAAACTGTATATATAATATAGGCATGTGTTACTATGTATGTATATATAATGATTGTGATAAATTTTTAGTTAGTTGTTACCACTTTTTATGCAGTGTGTGATTTGGCATGGCATCCTCAGTGTGTTGTGGAATTAGTGAAGTTTCCTTGCAAGATTCACAAAAGCAAAGACCAGGATGTGGAGGAAGATGAATATATAAAACTTTTCACAGTAAGTGCACCGTACATTAAATTTAAAGAAGCACAAAAAACACACAGAGTGTAGAATCTATATGTTGCTGAGGTTAGAAAAGGTGACTTAAGTTTGTGAATCTTGTGAGGCACGACATTCATAGTGGACATCTACCCTGCATAGCATAAATTTAGCAGTGTTTCAGCCAGGAAATTTTACTTGAGGGCCAAAGTGTCCCCTGAAGACCACTTTTAGGGGCCAATAAATTGAAAGCTACCTGTACAGAAGGAAAAAATGCATCAGGGTACCAAGGAAAATAAAGCAGTTGATTAGGATCTATGATAAAATTCATTAAGTGCTTTTTGAAGTGTTTCTACTCAATAAAGTTTCTTTTGAATCAGATACTAGTATGAAGGATCCGTGCATTACAAGAGAACAATCCTTAGGTATACATGACGTAGTCAATGATCAAGGGTTTGCAATGCATTATAGGGCGATCTCAAACACGGTCAGCCATTTGGAAGTTTTCCGATATGAAAGAATCAACACAGCAAAGCAAAAGGACAGATTGACTTCTTTTCTTATGTTGAATGTTTTAGAAGCAAAGATCTTTCAATATGATTTTCTAGAAGGACATAATGTGTGACGAAAGAACCGTTATTGATCGTCAACACAGAGAAATGTAGTTGCCATTATGCCGTATTATGGCGACTAAACCAGAATTTTTGGTCGCCAAGGACAAAATGTTAGTTGTAATGGCGACCGTATCGATCACAATTTCGAGCCCTGGGATGGCTTTTAAAATGTTATGCCTGTGTTACAATGTAAGCCTGCAGTCCTGTTAAAAGGAGAGGGCCAAATTGGCCCTTTTTTCATTTTTCTGGGGGCCATCTCTGACTGTAACGCGGGATTCCCACAATGGCGCTCTCTGGCGCACTGTGGCGTGCTCTGGCACTGGAATCTGTATGTGGCTGAGGTTAGAAAAGGTGACTTAAGTTTGTGAATCTTGTCGGGCATGACATTCATAGTGGAAGTCTACCTTGCATAGCATAAATTTAGCAACTACAATTGTGGACAAAAGTCCTTGGGACACTTATATGGAATGTAACAAGTCATCTGTGTTACAACTGTACTTGTCTGTATGGAGGATTAACTCTAATAATCACCCTTCATCCTTTCTAGAACAATGTGATTCTTTTCAATCTCTAATACATGTTCAAAAATTTGCTTTCAGAATCTTGACGAGTGGGAAGTTAATGATGTTTTGATGTGGCTTGCTGCAACCAGAAACTACCAATATGCTGAGATGTTCAGAGAAAATGAGATTACCGGACCCGAGTTACGTCAACTGACAGACACAAAACTTAGTGAGATGAATATTACAGATGCTTTTCACAAGCAGTCCCTTTTGTTTGCTGTTAAAGAACTTTTCCATGGAGATTCTCCAGTGGTAAATACTGATTGACCCACTCTGTGTTACGAAATAATGCACAGAGCACAGTATACTGTAGAATTACAGCTAGACCTAGCCAATCAACATCACTCACAATAGCTCTACAATAATTATAGGTAATCATATGGTTTTGAGATCAATTTGGAATTAATTTGCACTTGTGAGTTTTTCAAAAAGCTGAAATTTCACGAGCCGGTTCGGCGAATGCAACTTCAGCTTTTTGAAAAACTCACAAGTGCAAATTAATTCCAAATTGAACAAGAAAAACCGTATGATTACTTATTAATGACATAAATGTGAAAAAAAAAAAAAATGGCGTGGAGGAAGTGCCGGAAGATCTTTCTTGAAGCCATATTTTCTCATTCAAGAAAACTTTCAAAGTTTGTGCACAAAATTTTTGTCATCATTTTAAGTGATATCATTGGCTTTAAAAATTTCCTATTGTCTTTCAGCCAATCATAATCCAGAATTATGATGTGTAATTTGCAGTGGTGTTACACTGTTTGCACTGGTGTTACACTTGAACTGTACTGCCCTCAGCCAATCAGAATCGAGTAATTTTTTCATACATATTATTATTTTACTTAAATCAAGTGGAGGTCTGTAATACTATCAAATACAGAATCTCATTTCTGATAACAAATTATAATTCAGAATTATTATAATTATTAGAATAAATAAAAATAATGGTTATTTATTTCACTCAGTCAAGAAATTTTTAGCTTCAAAACTCGTTTTCTGACATTCAAGTGAAACTGATGTTGTGTGAAAGTAGAAAAATAACAACCAAAAAAAATTGCTATTAATATTAACAAACTACCAGTATTTAGTCGTATTTTACAATATTACAACTTTGTGACTCACAGTATTATGTCCAGTAGTTATTTCCTAGTTTTCACTTGCACATTTATCCATGTATCATATTTTGAAATGTCAGTGACTGTCCTTCCCTTTTATTTACAGAGAAATTCAGAAGTATTTAGTGGACTTCAGGCAGCCAAAAGAGGTCAGTTTCTTTTGAATGTACAGTGTATGTAACTCATGTGTTGCATTGCAGTTAACTAATAGATTGTAAAAGTACAGTTTTTCTGGAAAAACTTTGAAGAGTAGTGATTGTGGGGATGGTACCCCACTTTGCTATCGCACACAATCATGTTTGTTGCCTCATGTGTTCCAAACTCACTCTGATGAAGAAATTCATCTAATGGTGTGCTCAAGATTTTCAGTTTTGGTTCCTACTCTGTAGAAACAGTTGCCCGGGCGGCCTTGATTATGAATGTTTGTTATTGTGTTCTTTCACCATAGACAGATTGCTTTATTTACCAATGCAATAACATTATTATTATCACAGTGATACATGTAATAATTTAATTAGTCATGTAAATTCTGGTCATTTAAGCCAGATGCCTGGTACCTAACATTTGCATGCATTTTTATTAATTTCTGCTTGTGAATGTTGAAAATTGGAAAGATTTTAATTTGAAGCCTTTTCCTTGACCATACCCACTAATAGTAGCTTGAAATTTCTGCCTGTTTCAATTCTCAGTGACATCTTTGCAATCTGTAGGTGAACCAAATAAACTACTTACAGTAACATTGAAAATCAACATTCAAGTTTTGAACTGAATTGCTTTTTGAATGTCACATTGTATCAGTTCATTTCAAGGATAGAAGGAGAATGAAATCAAATTTCCATTAAATGAATGCATTAATTTTTTTTTCTGTTATTGGTAATGATGCATGACTTATTTTGACTACAATTTTATTACACAAACAAGATACATTGTATTAATAAATAAAATTAATTAATTAAATAATTTGTATAGCTGCAATATTAGACTTTTTCTTCAGATATTTGATGAAAAGTATTCCTATATGACTGTTATTATAAGTATCATTTTTTGGGGGATTGAATCATTTATAGCCGAGAAATTTGCAATTATGTGAGCGTGCCCATACATTCTCTGTAATGGCGTTCCCATACATGCTCTGTAATTTAACAAATACTTTTTCTAGTTTGGGTATTAAAGCTATAGATCTGAAATTAACAGACATCATCTCTGCATCATTATCTATTTTATTTTTGGATTGAATTTTTATAGCCGAGAAGTTTGCGATAATGTGAACGTGCCCATACATTCTCTGTAATAGCGTTCCCATACAAGCTCTGTAATTCAACAAATCATTTTGTCTAGCTTGAGTATTAAAGCTATAGGTCTGAAATTTAACAGACATCATCTCTGCATCATCGTCTATTTTATTTTTGGATTGAATTTTTTGTAGCCGAGAAATTTGCAATAATGTGAACGTGCCCATACATTCTCTGTAATAGCGTTCCCACACAATCTCTGTAATTTAACAAATTATTTTTTCTACCTTGAGTATTAAAGCTATAGATCTGAAATTTGACAGACATCATCTCTGCATCATTGACTTTAAAACTGTTCGTTTTGTTTTTGGATTAAATTATTTTTAGTTAGTAACTGACAATTTTGTAAAGCGTCTCCACGCATAGTTGTTAAACAGTTAATAATTGCATCAAGTCTTCCGGCGACGCTTCAACAGCAGCTCACTTTGTAGGACACAGGAGTGCAGTGTTGCTCTACCGTCTTGAGGTCACTGTTCAAATCTGGCCGGTACAAAGGATCTTATTCCTTTTTCTTTGTTTCTTTTGCTTTTGCTAAGGATGAACAGCGGTTGTTTACAAAACTTACAAAGCTTCGCCGTAGTTTCCATGCAATTCCTTCAGCGCGAGGACACCATGTATAAAATAATCATTTGGCATTTTATACCTGACAAAAAGGAGATTTGTTGTTTTGCTTGCCCTGCCGGCTTTTCGTCCTTCTGTGATTTCTTCTTCCTCTTCCTTCTTCTTCCCCTAGATCCGCCACTGCTTAATGACCAGTTAGTTAAATAAATCTCCTAAAGTAAGGATGAAGAAACAGCTGTCGTTATTTTATTACTTTGTAGTGTTTATTCAGTTTCCTCCTCCCCTGGACTGAAACAACAAATTGATAAAAACAAACAAAAGAAAAAAAGAAACCTCTTCAGTTGATAACTCAAAACAAAGGTTGTTTCCCTCTGCACAATCTAACAGTGTTATCTTACTTGATTTCTCGAACTACCCAATTTTCCAAACTAATTTTCGTTTTCCTTGGAAGTTCGAAAAATCAGGATTCCAGAGATTCAAAATCAGGGTAAATTTAATTGATAAGGTGTGGATCCATTTGGAGAATGTTAAATAAATGTAATGTTAAGTATTTTTTATTGTAATTTTTGGATTGGTTCTAACAGGTTCCAAAGGAGGTCATTTATTTAAAGAGCAGACTTTTACCTCTCTGCATTGGTGTGATAAGTGCGGCAAGTGTCTTTGGGGACTGCATCGTCAAGGGGTTCTGTGTTCAGAGTGTGGCTATCAATGCCATAGAAAGTGCATGTTTGACACTATTGCTGTGTGTCCGAGGAGAAGAGTTAGAGTGCGAAGAGAAAGCGATGCAGATGGTAAGATCAGATCACACTTATAAGTTGAATAATTTATTAATTGTCAATATAACTAATACAGTGACAGACAGACAGTAGACAGACAGACAGACTGACAGACAGACAGACAGACAGACAGACAACCACGTTTTGACGTCTTCTGTAACCCCCATCCACACTACATTGAAGAAATTTGAAACAAATGGATTCCATGTTGCCGTGTGTCTGTTATGCAATGTAGCTTACAGATGGTGTCAAAATGCGGTAAGAACAAAAGCGTGACACACAAGCCGTTAGTTCACACTAGTTACATAACGACCTAACGACATAACGATATTTAAGAAATAGAAAACGTGTAATGTGTTTCTATCTAGTTATAGAAACACGAGTGGAAGTTTGGGAGAACGAGAAATGCTGTGGGAACACAAGCCGCAGGCGAGTGTTTCCGCAACTTTTTCGAGTTCTCCCAAACTTTCACGTGTTCTTTCACGTCGCTTTCCGCGGCGAGAAAAAGGAAAACAACTTGATAACTTCGATTATCAAAATGTAAATTCTCTTTGCTCGCGCCGTCATAACGTCGACAGCTCGTGGTAGTTCTGTGTTTCTATCGAGTTTTAGTATAAATCTACTAGCGTTCTATCACGAATGGCGGTCTCTGATTGGCTACGCTACTCACTATCTACTCTGTGATAGATAGTGAGTAGCGTTGCAGTGTGCGCTTGTTAACGAAATGACGACCGCCTCTTGGCGTTTTCGAAGAGTCTGTGAAGAGGATTTAGATAAAGTTTTGAACGACTAGTAGATTTATACTTAAACAATTAGATTATTCGCTCTCGATCTCTATGCGATATTATGCGCCCTCACCAACTATCACGCGATAGAAATCTCGAGCTCATAATCTAATTATTAAATAGAAACACGATTTTTAACCAATCAGCGCACGTATTTTGTTAGGACTGTTTTATAAAACAAAATAATGTGACAACATAATCGCTTAAGCCTAATTCACACTAGCGACAAAACGACATAACGACATAAGGCCAGGTGAACAATGGAGCATTTTCTTTTGGTCTTTAGATTCCTTCATTTTTTTGTCATACAATATAGGATAAGCATCGATCCCAGTGTCTTTATGTTCATGTCGTCATGTCAGGATGTTCACACTGCAAACGTAATGACGTAACGTCCTTGTTATGTCGATATGTCGTTATGTCGCTAGTGTGAATTAGGCCTTATGTTGGTAATGTGAACATCAARTCATGTTGCTATTATGTCATTATGTCAGGATGTTTACACTACAGACATAAGATCCTTCTTATGTTCTTACCGTGAAACCTTACAGCGTACCCCATATTAAGCGGACATCCTCTATTTAAGCGGACAGCAGTGCAAGTCTCATTTTTCTTTTCCCACATTCACTGTAAAAAATACCTGTATTCAACGGACACTTCTATTAAGCGGACGCGGACACCTTAAACTTGACTTTAATGGTCATTTCTTTTGTTAGAAACTTGTATCAAACGGACACTGTAAAAAGAATGCATGAATTTGTTTGTCCACGTTTTAGTAGATCGGCCAACAAACTGAGCTGTCACAGAAATGCAATATTTTGTTATTCTATTTTGTTTTTACAGAACTTTTGTTCTTGTTTGATTTTGTAAACCTTCACATGATTCGATCAGCATAGATACTGTTACTGTATACTTAAATCGCTTTACCTCAAATACTTGTCATTGTTTATAGAAATACGGTATTTCAGAGTTCCCGACCGTTCACGAGAATGTTATTTGAGCCTTTCAAGGTCTTTTAATACTGATGAGTATTAATATGACCCTTTTAAGACGAAATCCGAGGGAACCTGTTTTCAACGGACACCCTGTATTAAGCGCACACTAGCACGGGTCCCGAGCGTTTCCGCCTTATACAGGTTTCACTGTATGTTTATGTCATTATGTTGTTAAGTGGCTAGTGTGAACTAGGCGTAATTACTGATGGTCTTGTAAACCACATTTTGACGTCTTCTGTAGCCCTGTCCACACTAAACCGGAGAAATTTGAAAACGGCGTTTTCACCATGAAAACACGTCAAATGTTTTCCATGCACACTACGCCAGAAGAAGTTTTAAAACGTAACAATCACTGGCGGAATTGAGCATACACGAGCACTGAACTTTCCATTTTTTTAAAATTTAGTTCCAGTATTTGGAGCAGAACTTGGTGCACAGTTTCGTCCAGCTGAGAAACCAGCACCAACTATAGTCATGAAATGCGTCCAGGCTATCGAGAGAGGACATTTATTAAGGACGGTGGGAATCTACAGTATTGTACCATCAGGAAGTGAAAAGAACGCTCTGAAGACGGCATTAAATCAGAGTAAGTCATGAACGATAATAGGAGTGTATTTTCCAATACAGTCGAATCTCCACAAACGGTCACCTCTCTACAACGACCATCTGCCTACAACGGCCATTTTGTTATCAGTGTCCCTGCGGACGGTCCATACAGTCACTCTTATTTTAACCTCTCTACAACGGTCACCACACCACAACAGCAACGGCCACTAAACCTCGTCCTAACTGGCAAAATAACGTCTTAACGGTCAGTTTATTACGACGGACGAACAGTGTATACAAAGCCTAACTTTTTATTGTTGAAGATCACGAAACTTGAGCGTTACCACGTGTCGTTGGTCTCTCTGTTTCTGTTTAGTTCCTGTTTTATTGATATATTGTGATTGTGTTAAACACTTAATAAAACGCGGCAATAAGCAATAAGACAAAAGTGTTGCACCCCCGAAAAATAACAGGTGTTATATTACACCCCTACCTCCCCGTAACGGCCACCTCTCTACCTTCTGCTGAAGGATCTAAAATTTACATGCCCTCAACATTGTGACTACTTGATCACGACCTATGCTAAGATGAAGCACCCAGCTTTTCAGCCAATCAGACATGCAGAGACTGAACTGTATAAAGAGCGTTGACACTCACGTGGGAAGCACACATGCAAATTTATTGGAACAAAAGGAAGTGTTTACATAAGGAAAGAGTTCAACTCTCACAGGATTGGTTTGGTACACCAACATGGCCGCTGTTTCATTGTTTTGGAACACCAATATGGCTGCCATGACGTCATATGAAAACACTCTATACAGTAACTATGATACAGTGGAGTCTGATTCAATTTAAGTCAGTGTATTTGCGACAACTTATTCCACATCTGTGATCGTAAGATTACAGGCTTTAATAGTGTTTTTTTCTTTTTTTAGGTGCGAAGAATGTGAACATGGATGACGAGGAATGGAGAAGTCCTCATTGTGTTGCGACAGTGCTTAAGATGTATCTAAATGAACTTCCAACCTGTCTGTTTACCGAAGAAAAATATTTTTCTTTCGTCAAAATGTTCAGGGGTAAGTCCTTTTTGCTGGAAGTGTTGTAATGTAAAATGAAATTTATGTTTAACTGACGGCAAGACGACACAACACGAGACGAGACGAGACGAAATGGCACGACACGACAAGGCATGACACGGCACGACGTACAATAACATAGAAACGACAGGGAAGTCCGTTTTGAGAAAGTTGACTGCAGTTTGTGTGAGCAAAATAGACTACCGACTGTACTGTTATCAAGAGGACATTTTAAAGTCTTATTGTTACGTTTGTACTTTTGATTTTTGGTTTGAAATCTGGTTTGCTTCCTTTTTGTAGATGAGAACAGAGATGCCGTTGGCACGAGACTCAAAGATTTGGTTGCAAATCTACCTCATGAAAACAAATCTCTTTTAAATTATCTGTTGCGACATTTCTACAAGTAAGAAAACTTCATGATCTAACATTAATTATCTAAATATGTTTGTTTAGTATGTAGTGACTGGGTATCTTAAGAGGCCAAAGTAAGTCCTAAAATTAATTGTCTTGGGAGCTTGAGCCAAGCACGACGACTATGTGCTCCGCGTGTTCTGCAACGAGAACGTTGCAGAACATTAGCGCAGCACGTGCGTTATAAATCTTTATAAGGTCCCTGAGAACGTAAACCACGACGGTTTTTTTCATTGTCATTCATTGGAACCCCACCTTACGGCCACTTTATTACGACCATTTTATTCTAGCCCAAACAAAAGCTCAGTCAGTCATTTTCTTATTTAGGAACCCATTTCATATGGCCACCCTAGTAAGATTGACTGGTAGTTAACTTATTGTAATCAGGAGCTGTGCTTTTAGGCGTGGCTAAATCTACATATTAGTTGTAAGCAAATCGCCAAAGTATATAGCAATCCTCTGAAAGTTGTGATGAAATTCCATGGTTGATAACAAATCCCGAAAGAAACGAGCCTCCAAAATATAGGACCACTGATCCGAAAGTAGCAAATAAAAATTGGAAATAACAGATTTACAGTAACAAACTAAACCAAAATGTCTCTTATTACAAAGTCGGTATTTTACTCTATTTCAACAATTTTATTCCTATTTTATTCGGCATTTTACTCCTTTTCAACAATCACAAAATGTATCCCTTAGACCGTGAGCAGTCTCTCTTTTCTCGAAAACTGTGGGGAAGAACGCAAAACAAGTAAGCGTGCGAGCGTGACGCTTACCTGTTGCGTTCTTCCCCACGGTTTTCAAGGAAAAGAGAGAATGCACGTGGTCTATGTATCTCTTGTTTTTCATTTTCCCACAAATGTTGTGCACGTTTTTGTTGTCTTAACGTAGCGTCTACCAGAAAGTTGCGACCCTTGGAATATAGCAATTGGAAACCGTGATTTATGAGGATAACTTTCGAAACTCTACGTTTATTTAAGTTATATTATCGTCTAAATAGAAAATCGAAATTAAATGTTAGCAACTTTTGGGAAGCGGAGGTTCCTAAATGGTTGGTTGCTCAAAGCACACTTGTTCTTTTTAGGGTCAGCCAAAGTGTTGAGTGGAATGACATGTCCTCCAGGAAACTAGCAGCTACCTTTGTTCCCATCCTGTTACGGCCGACCCATCAGTATATAATGTAAGTCAAGTTGATCATTCAAAATTTAAACAAAGGAAAAATAACTAAAATAAAAAAGAATTTTAGGCCCAGTTCAGACGTCGTGCTTCTGCCGTGTCGATCTAAATTCAGGAATTATGTTTGACTTAAGCACGGCGTCTGAATGAAACAAAACAATTAAGTTCGACAAGTTCTGCTGTGATACACGACTCTGGCACGGCAGCAATTCAAACGTCGTGCTTCTGTTGCACCAAACAAAATTCATGAATTATGTTAATGTATTGTGGTGGGATTGCGTTTCCGGGAGGAATTCCGAGGAGAATTGTTGGGTGATTTCAGTAAATCCTGAATTTGTAACGATTCTGGTGGGATGTCTGAATCAGAGTCGCGTTTCTGCCCTGCTACAGTCGTACCTTATGGCAGCAATTAAGTTCGGCACGGCAGAAGCACAACGTCTGAACTGGGCCTTTCTGATGTTTTTGGTAACTGCTTTTGCTTGCTCAGCATGGCACGTTGAAATGCCTTAGATTGATCGATGTAGCAGAGGTTGTCGTTGTCAAATAGAAAACTGGTGGAAGTGTCCCTGAAAACTTTTTACTGTAAATGCTTTTAACGTTCTGTGGCGTTTAACGCACAAACTGGTATTTTCTATTAATGTTTGGAAAACAGTACTAAGAAAATACGCGCGCTGATTGGTTAAAAATCGTGTTTCTATAACTCGATGGAAACACAACTAGCACGAGTTGTCGACGTAATGGTGGTGCAGGCAAAGAGAATTTACATTTTGATATTCAAAGTTAACAAGTTGTTTTCCTCTTTTTCGCCGCAGTGTTTTCTTAAAGAAATAGAAAACATGTTCTCCGTGTTTCTATCGAGTTATAGAAACACTCGCGAAAGTTTGGGAGAACGAGGAATGCTGTGGGAACACAAGCCGCAGACGAGTGTTTCCACAGCTTTTTCGAGTTCTTCGCTCGTGTTTCTATAACTCGATAGAAACACGGTACATGTTTTCTATTTTTAAATAGTTGTTGTTTTTTGTCACTAAGATCATTTCGACACTTCTTTGCAGGAAACTGGTTGAGGACCATGACATCACAGTAGGAATTATTGACTTTCTCATAACCAATGGAGAGTGGACAAGAGAGGTGACGCCCCCAGGTACAAAAAAAGACATGTTCAAATGTTGTTGTTTATAGTGCAATGCAGTTGATAATGCCCAGTTAATAATGCAGTTTTCTAGGCCTCAAAACTGCATTATTTTCACACAAAACGTAGAGACACCATCTCCTATTTGGTTAAGAATATAACACGAGAAAGCGAAAATATTTCTTAAAAGCCAGTGCCGTGACTGCAGGCCAAAAAAACCATCCGGGTACTACACGCTTTATAATTTCCAGCTCGTCAAAGAGAAGTGTACTTTGAATAGAAATTCCAATAGATGAGTTTGCAAAGAGAGTGTAGTTAAAAGCCTGTAATCAGAAAGTCTTTATTCAAAGTAATACCTCGACTCATCATGTCTTAAATTCGCTTCGTGTCGGTTCATTTACATGCATTCTTTTTGTCGGTTTCCTTACAAGTCCTCCGGATATAAGGTTTCTCAGTTATCAGCCGTGGGGCAGCTGGCCTATACGCTCGTAAGCCCAGGACTCGAAGTTAACTTTTTAGTCCACGTGCAAAGTTTTGCTAGTATGATTTTTTCACTAGCTAACTGGTGAGACCACTAGCAAATTCTTTCCAGGTTTTTGGGAGACATGGATGATTCTAACTCGCAAACGTTTGCTAGTGGATATTTTTCTCACTAGCAGATTATCAAAATCACTTGCATTTTGCGAGTTTGCGAACGTTAAATTCGAGCCCTGGGCTAAGCCCTTACTTACAATTTTTATTTTTTTTCGTTGGCTCGCTTGCCTTTTTGCGCAAAAGAGCAACATTTGGTTGAAGCACTTGCAAGCTCGTAGGTGAAATATAAAGTAGTTTTGAACGCGTCTTATCTTTGTAAAGCTCGCAATTACCCGGTCATGCTGATACCTATGTTCATCTTAAGCAAATGAAAACTCGGGAATCTTCTACAGGTGACATTCGAAGGCAGTGAGTGAAAGTTGGCCCTTTCCGTCGGTTTTTTAAGCAATAGAGCACTTTTATCGTGTGTAAATAACCTCATCTAAACGCGAGGAGGGTCCCCAGAATTCGAGACAGTTATGCAAACCCAATTCACCCAATCCCCCTCCCCCCAAGTGTTTAGATTAGGCTATTTAAACACGGAAAAAGCGCTCTATTGCTTTCATAAAATATTTCTCAAAAATATGCGCGAATCTAAAATGTCACAACCGCGTTTACTTACTTTCATCTGAACACACCTATCGACCAATGAGAGCGAGCTTAGCTTAGCAGTTATTTAATAGGAGATATAAAATACACAGAAATTGAAGATGCGATAAAAGTGTCCCTTAGCTTAGGGGACGGTTAGCGAGGCTACAGCTCTTCAAAACCCGGCTAACCCCTGTATCCCCCTTCGAAACCCCTTACGGTGCGGCGAGGGCTTATAACCGTAGTATATTGAAGTCATCAATGCTGTCGTAAACTGCAATCACAAAACTGTTCATTGATCGTCATATGAGGTTGAATGTCTTTCTTGTTGTTTCTTACCCTCTTTCCAAATTGACATTAATTCTTAATCCCAGATTGACATTTAAAACGAAACAATTGATTTATAATTGCTTTTAATTTGCAGTGCCCCCTAGATCAGCACGACCACCTTCTTTGGGCACCCCGGCAGAGGAGAGGTCCGCCAAGAGATTGCAGGATTGCCCCTGGTATTGGGGTGAAATAAACAAGTGAGATTTCTAATGGTTTTCTTAAACTGATCTTGGGGTTTCAAGTTGATTGATTACACAACTAAGTTAGTTCAGAGTGCCAATATCTAAAATCAACCAATCAGATTGCTCCATTGCTGGTCCAATATTCTCGAAGTATCGGACCGGGCACTGTCCCGAATGATCCCGCGAGGTCAGTCTTGAAGTTTTTGGGGTAGTCTCAGTTTTGTAATAAATCACTTATTAACCAAATGCGAGGCCCGTACTGAAAGGATATCGGCCCTCGGTCGTTTTTGTACGGATTAGAGTTAGGGCTGATATTCTCCAAGTACGGCCGTCGCGCTTGGTTAATAAGTTATATATCTCTGATACCTCTGTTTTCTTTCATTTCAGAGAAACAGTCAGTGAGAGATTAAAAGATCAGGAAGACGGAGTATTTATCGTTCGGGACTCGCGACGGTTTCCGGGAGAGTATACACTGACCTTGAGGTATATTGAGTTCATTGTTCAACTCATTTCGTACCATTCGTTGTTTCAAGACTATGTGGAACGTGGTACTTTCCCCCCAACCNCCCCCCCCAAATTCTGTGCCTGTGCCCGACGCTCAATCGAGACCGTGGATTTGAACTTTCCGGCCCTATACGGGGATGTTTTGGCACGTGACTTGGTCATCCCAAGCTCACGTGACAAATAGATTCCCGCCATATTTACTTGAGAAAGACGCTGTGATAGCGTCGAAAGCTTGTGATCGATAAACCTCGGCATCTCGTTTCGTATTGATAATAAAACAAATTAACAGCTAATTTCTGTGTGATTTTAGGAAAGGAGGGTTGAACAAACTGATCCGTATTCTGCACAGAGATGGCTACTACGGGTTTTCAGAACCGCTCACATTTCCATCTGTGGTTGATCTCATCAACTATTACGAGAAAAGATCGCTGGCATCTTACAATCCGAAGTTGGACGTAAAACTTTCAACTCCACTCCAGAAATATGATCAGGTAAACACAATTACAATTGAACCCCACCTTACGGTCACTGTTGGGAATTGTATTCAGTGAGTTGTAGGCTCAAACTCCAAATAAACGAACTATTTAATGAACCAGCCACGTAATCCGGAACATACAATAAGCGACGAATCACAATGGCTAAAAACGGTGAATAAGCTAGACTCAAAACTCCAAAAACAGCGGCAAGGCTGGCCTAAAATCTTAAACACGGTAAGAAAAATACAACAAAGATGAAAATCTGCAAAATTACGTCAGCGAAGTTCAAATGTACACGCGAGCACATTCTGAGCCACGATTGGCTAATTAAAATCACCTGAAGTTACGCGCGCGGACAAAAACTCATACTAAGGCGAGAGGGGTGATTTCAGAGTTCGCAAAGTTCAAAACAGTCACCATGTTAATACGGTCACCCCTTTATTACGGCCACTTTTGACCTGGCGAAACGCCCATACATTTTCGTAAAAGAAAACCCCGTTAATGAGGAGCTACGTCACGGTTTGCTGATCTTGAAAAGTTTAACCTAAATATTTCAAGTTCGTCGTTTGTAATCCGTGTTAATTTTCTTCATCCTTAACCATCCTTGTTTCTTTATGGTTTATTGTTATCTCATTGGTGTTTTTCTAGCTTAGGAAACTTTTATTTTTAGGTTTCCTTCGATTTAAAGGTAATTTCGTACGTGGCCAAAATAACTCAACGTGACTGTGTGGTAGCTTGGCGTGACTGTGTAGTAACTTGGCGTGACTGTGTAGTAACGTGCCGTGACTTTCTTTTTTCTAGGATGATGAAGAACCTGGCCAAGGCCCTAGAAATAATATTGATCATCTAGTAGAAAGACTGAAAAAAGTACATGTTGAGTTCATGGAAAAATCAAACGACTATGACAAAATCCACAACGAGGTTGTCCAGTCAGAGCAGGTTGGTGACGTGTTTTTGTGTAGGTCACGCAATCGGCTCAAGAATTCCTTGTCACGGAGTACACTCCTGTAAAGGTGAATTAATCAACATGACACGAGCGTGGGACAAAGAAAAATTCTGAGTCCCCGACAGGAATCGAACCCATGACCTCCCGAACANTAAAGGTGAATTAATCAACATGACACGAGCGTGGGACAAAGAAAAATTCTGAGTCCCCGACAGGAATCGAACCCATGACCTCCCGAACACCAGGCGGGCCCTCTATCCACTGAGCTACGAGAACTCGTGGAGAGCAAGGTCATTTAACTGAGTTCATTTATGACAGGTGTCCTGCAGGAGTACACTCCTGTTCACAGAAGATTACGTGACTGACGCTTTTCAATTGTTCTTGTGTTTGATGTGTTACTTCCAGTCACCTTGCCTTCGGTGTAGCGTGTACAGTTTTTTAATGCAGATAAAGTCATGACGTAAAGGTAGAACTGCAAAATGTACAGTTATAATGCAGATTAGATTATGACTGAAATCGACTGAAATGTAGAGCCGTAGAAGCGTACAGTGTAATGAATTATCAATGAAACTTACAACAGTAGAAGCGGGCCATCTGCGATTTAGTTGAAGTTTTGACCGAAACAGAGAGCAGTAGATGTGTAGAGCGGTTTACAATTGAGTGTCGTGTAACCAAAACCAAAGTAATCTTTCTAGCCAATCACAAAGGACATAGGCAATCCAGTGAACCAATCAAAACTCAAAGACAAATACATGTCGCTGACGCAAAGCGCAGGAAAACAAGCGCGAGCTGTTGTTTTATTACTGTTATTCCAGCATGTCTCAGCTTCATGTTTAGGAGTGTTTTTGTTTGATTTTGTCCATCAGTTATCTTCCACTGCATCACTCTCGCTGTCAGAACTGTCCTCTACCGCTAAGTTCTTCAAAATCTCGCTTGTGCAGTCAAACTTTCCATGTGTTGGTTCTTTGTAATTGTCTTTAATATGTGGAATACCGTGCCTTATGCTTCGTTATGTTTGCTATTGTTCACGATGACGATCATATTGATTATGTTGTCACAGTTCTGAGGCCAAAGCTGCATATTAAAGAATAGACAAAAAAAGCGAAATATAATACACGTCAATTTTAATTTCCTCTCAAAATCGCGAAATTTAATACTCGCGAAAGATGGCGTTTGACTTTTCGCGAAATTGCATGAATATACTCGCGAAATTTAGTGAGAATAAGGTAATTGGATGACAAAGTGGTTTGGGATTTTAAGCCAATCGTGTAACGTAATAATGCAAGACTTAATCGAAAGCGAGTAACTTTCGACAGTGAAGGGAAAACCGTTCTATCGTGCAAATACTGTAGTGGCACTTACGAGGTGTAGCTGCACACAATTTGTAATGCAGGTTAAAAATGGTCTGAAATGTAGGGCGTATTTTCATTTTCAGGAAATAACAGACTATCACGAAGAACTTGATGCCCACCGTGAAATTGTTAAAATGATCGATGACCAAATTATTCTGCACGAGTCGTATCAAAAGGAAGCTCCTCCTCAAAACAGAGCAATGTGAGTACACATGCAATTCTGTTTTGTCGAATTCTTGTTTGTGAATGTCGCTTATTACAAGTAGCTCTTATTGGAACGAATGAACTAAATCAAATCATTATTTATGGTACCACATTTTGAATTTAGTGTTAGCAAAAGATGCCAAACGTTCGTGAAGATCTTTACCATCGCTCATATATGATCTTTGCCCGCTGGGAGGTGTGTATAGTGAAAAACTGTAATCGAAGTATTGAAAATACTGCTTGAGGTCGTAGGCCGAGGGCAGCATTTTCAAGCCCGAGGTCACAGTTTTTCAATACACGAATTAACCCTGACCCGGTAAATAACTTACTTATTTTTCCTGTCGTTTTTAACACGCGCGTTACCGTGACCGTGGGCATAGATGGGAAAATTCTGACGGCGCTAAGAACCAATCAGATTACAGGATTCGTTAAGGCGCCCTCTGGGAAAAAAAATAAAGTCTTTTTTTTCTACGTGTACAGAAAAATTGCTACTGTTTGACTGCTCTTTTCAATTTATTTAATTACAGACTTCGTCAAAACTACGAGTTATTAAAGCACAAAAAGCAAGAGGCAAAAGGTATCCTGGTTACTCTTGAAAAAGAAATTGCCAACATGACTGAGAAGACCCGTGTTCTAAACAAGCGCATGAACAGCATCAAGCCAGAGATTATAAAGCTACAGAGAAGCAAACAACAATACTATCTGTAAGTATTAATACTCGAAAAATGAAATATTGGGACATCCCTGCGCCATCCCCGCGGGAAGGGTGGCGGGAGTTGGGGACAGGGATGACACAGTGGCGAGGGAACTCTCCCCCCCCCTTCAACTCCCCACCATTGTGGCGCAGGTTCGAGTCCCGGACTCGGCGTCATAAGAAGGTTGAGTTTGTTGTTGGCGCTCATCCTTGCTCCGAGGCTTTTTCTTCGTGTTCTTCGCTTTTTCTTCCTCCACAAAATGAAAAACCAGCACTTCTAAAGTCCAATTCGATTTGGAAACAGTGGAAGAAGAGCCTTTCCGTGGAATGTACCACTGCAAATTCCGATTTATTCGTTATTTATTTTGTTGTATCACTGGAAAATCGTACAATTCTGACAATACGCTTTCGACTGATATGAGTTAATTGTTGAAGGTCTTTGTGGGATAAAACCCATGCCTTAATAATGTTTGGGTTTGTATATTACACAGTGGACCCCGTTAATCCTGTCAACAAAGGGCCACAAAAATCTGGCTGAGCTTTTCTTCAGTCCAGAATAAAGTGGCCTTAATAACGAGATGGCCGCAATGCGGAGTTCCACTGTATTTGGGAGGGACGTTACGTCTGAAAAAATTGTTTAGTTGCACAAATGAATTTGGTGTAGTAGAACACTCGAAACACGATATCAAATAGAAAAATAATACGTGTTACCGTCATTAAATGTACTACAATACAAAGCAAGGTCTGCAATGAGAAGTAGTAATAAGTTACAATTTCGCTCCCAGGATCTTTCTTCTTCTAGGAAGCAGAGAGACGAGAGTCCCGGGAACGAGGTGTAAGAAATTACAACTTTCTTTGAGAGTTGAGGGGCTTATTATCGGGGGACTAGGAAAGAAATTATCGGAAATTTATGGCATTTTCAGCAGTAAAATAGTACTGGTTGTGAAGCTTGAAAAATTCTCCAAACTATCGTTAATTGATTAAGAAACAGTTTTAATTTAATTTATTATTATTTTCCTGTATAATATAGATAGGACCCTGCGCGCGCTCTGATTGGTCAAGAACCCACATTTTATCAGAGTATAAAACAGAGAAAAAGCGTGTTTTATTGTTTTTCGCCACATTACCTCTAGTCAACTTTTTTGTTAGAAATGGCGAAAAACAATTTTTTTTCCTTGAAGAAATTTGTGATGGAGTTCTCCGCTAAGCAGCAAAAAGTTTTGAAGACGAGGCATGTAGCACTTAAGTTGTATTAAATTGCGTCAGTTTGTCGATCTGTGTGCTTTGTTGTTTGTACTCGCGTCGTGTAAAATCTATATCATAAAGCAAATGAAGAAGCCTAAGCGGTGTATTTCACAATGACAAAACCCTCCGGACATTTGAGAACATGAGGGAAATGAAGAAAACACTCGCTTGCGGCTCGTGATTTCTGCGTTTCTCTCTTTTACTCAAATGCCCCTCGTGTTTGATCACAGTGCAATCACGGCTCAGGCTTCTTTATTTGTGAAATAATTGCAAGGTAAGGTTCAGCTCGGAAGACGATGGCTACTGTTTTACTGATTTTAACCCGTTCATGTTTGTTTTTCTGTCTACAGGGTTCTCACAACAGACAAGGGAATGGAAATAGAGAAAGTAAAGGAAAAAATCGGCGAAGAGTGAGTGAAGCTCTATATGCACTATTTCCCATTCAATATTATCATACTCTTAAAGCTCCGTTAGGTAGCCCTCCTGTCCCACCCCTCTCCATTAAAACCTTCTCTAGAACCCCTCTTCGCTCCCGCTTCTCCGGTAGTCACATTTCATGGTTTATTCTTACTCTTGTTGTGGGCAAGTTTGTGTGAAAACAGTCTCCGAATCTATTTATACAAACGCTATTTAGAACTTGAAAAAAACTCCCCTTCTCCACGGACTCCACTCTTTCAAATATCTTGAGAGGAGTTCCCCACTCCCCTCTGCTCCTCCCCCTCCCTCCTACCCCTCCCCCACCTACACGATGCGTGTCACTGTGCGTTCACTAACTTGTTCGGGTCTCGCAGCCAAACCGCAATTTATTTTGACTCTGTGTTGTTTCTTTGTTCTCCTTACAGAGGAACTGAACGAATTCGGAAGTAAGTACCACCTTGGCTTGTTTTACTTCTTACCAGTTAGTTACATATTGTCATTTCCTCTCTTCCCTTCTATTCTCTTTCCTTCCATTTTCCTATCTTCCCATAGTTTATAGTGGTTATGAAGCCCGGCAAACATCAAAGGAGCAAACAAAGAAGCCGAGATTTATGTTGGAAGGTCCGCGATCGTGCACAGTCTCTTGTTTGAGCTCAAACACTGTGCATAAATTACGTAACTGAAACGTTTCTATTTTTCAGTTCGTCAGTCATTAGTAAACAATAATTGTGTTTTGTTCACGGTCACAGTTGTCTTGTATTTTACTTGGCCCCATACTGTAGGCCCTAAGATTACCCTTACTTCTTTGTACCCTTTTGCTCTCACTGCTTAGTACTAATTTAAATTCACCTTTTATAAACAGTGCTTTTGAGCAGGATGGTTTACAAAACGGCAACTCCCAAGAGGACATCTATGATGTGTAAGATTTACTCAACATTTTTCGATCATTGTTTTATTTCTCTTTACTCTTGCCAATCAACATCAAATTCGCAGGTGATGAGAATGTACGACCTCGTATCCTTCATAGGATGGTCTTATCTTAAGGTTACAGTATACCTTCAGGGGTGTCTCGCGCGCAAGCGATGTAGCGCGTGTAGTTTAAGCTGTAGATACCTAAACCNCGAGGCGATAGCCGAGTGCGACTCTAGCTTCTTGAGTGCTTAGCAAACCTCCCAAGTGCATCCATAACTCAATAGTGCACGCTATGGCGTTTACCGTTTGTTTTATAACATAACATTGAGACATAGGAACAACAGAAGTCCTTTTATTGAGCTACATCACAAAAAAATGTTCGGGTAGTCTTACATGACAAGAGAAAACAAGCGCGCGAAAATTCATTCATGACAACCGACTGCACACTAGTAAATCGATAAAGTTTCATCTTCACACAACTGTGAAGACAGTTTCGCATTTCTGGGAGAAGGACGTCGGCCATTACTTTGGAAACAATGTCTGTCAAAAGATTTGCTTTGTGAACATTAGCACACACGTCAGCAGCGTACACCCATGGGCAAATAATAGACGCTAAATTAACCAATCAGAGCGCGCGCTTTGCTTTAGTTATGTTATAATATAATTTATATCTTCGCGCCGCTATGTAATATCCTCTATATATAATGTTGATTTAATATTTTGTTCTTATTCTCTGTTATAGGCCTGATATAGACCTCTCTGAACCGCAGTGGCTACTTGGGATACTTGACAGGTAGTGTACTGCAACGATTAAGTTCTGTTATCCCCAAATCGCACAACGAGTCATGAGTGTTCTACATTTATTAACAATTACTTTATGTTACAGAGAGTTTGTTCGGAGAGCTTTGACAATTTGAGCTGTAAGCTCTTCATCTGTGTGAATTTTTTTGTCCTTGACTATTTCTCGAGATTTGTTTGGCTAATATTTATACCTAATCGTACCTTTTTGGTACGCTTCGGTGGCATATCAGGTGAGTTTGGTCGAGCCATGGTTCCGAGCCGTGGTTCGTATTTTTATGAGACTAAGTCGAACCAAAATATCCATGGTGAGACGAAACAAGCCTGATATGGCACCGAAGCGTACCAAAAACGGCACGATTAGGTATTTACCGTACTTATTTTTCGGTCAAGTGAGCATGATATCGTAGCTATATCAGGTCAGTGACTTGATATCAGTAAACACGGTTTCTGCTTGGTTAATTGCGAATTTGGGTACGTTGGTCTACGGAACATGGGACCTATGAATTTGGTCATATGTTTTTTGTTGTCATGGTTTGTAGGACTGAGGCTGAAGCGCTCTTGAAAGACAAAGTCGACGGTACTTTCATGATCAGAGAAAGTAATCGGCGGCCCGGGGAATGGGCTGTCGCCCTCAAGTAAGTTTATTGTAATTTGCCTGGTTTTCACTACTACGTAAGCACAAGCACAAGCATAAGCATAATGGTAGTGAGGAGGCCCACAACACAAGCATAAATACGTAGGCATGCGCAGAATGGATAATTTAAGTTAAAATAAGATGGCGGACTTTCGCTCATGCTTATGCTTACTTGACATAAATACAAGTACACACGTGAAGAGTGGGATAAGACTGATGTCGAAAATTGAACGACGTGGTGTGCCTCTAATAATGATAATAATAATGATAATAATAATAATAATGATAATAATAACAACAATAATAACAATAATAATGATGATAAAAATAATTATCACAAATATTTTAACAGGATGGCCCATCAGTGTATAAATACTGTTATCAAAGGGGTCCTGTGAAAAAACAAAACTATGGTGAAAATATGGCAAAAAAAGGTTAAATTACAAAATTGGAAATTGTGAAATAGAAACTTGTCTTGAAGTTATGGATCTAAATTCGATTGGTAGCTCATTAGAAATCTTGGCTCCTTGATAGTGAAAGCTCTTCTTCCCAAATTCAAGGCGAACTTTAGGTAGTTTCACTGATAAATCATTGTTCCTTGTGTTCTTAGAAAGAAGTGATCTTTCAAATTAATTCTTAAAGGAACTCAGTCACGGTTTGTGCATATTGAAAAGTTTAGCCTCGATTTTTCAAATTCGTTTTTTATAATCCGTATTAATCTTCTTCATCCTTACCCATTCTTGTTCCTTTATGGTTAATCATTATCTCTGGTGTTTTTCTATCTTATTTAACTGTCATTTTCGTGACTGGGCTCCTTTAAAGGAGGTGCAAACATTATTTTCAAGACAGTCGAAGACAAACTGACTGCTTTTTCGCTTAATTAAGTTCTCGGCTGCCGTGCTCTGACTTTACCGTAACGTTTAATTTTTTCTTTAGGCACAGAGGTTGTGTGAAGCACATTGAAGTAAAGCGAGGTCCGGAAGGCTGCTTTGGTTTCGCGGTGAATTACACCACGTATCCAACGTTGGTTGATTTAGTGCGGCATTATCACGAGAACACGCTACAGGTTCATAATCCCGAACTCGATACAACCCTTAAATTCCCCCTGGGGAGTTTTGTGGGGAGGAACTAGTAGAAATTTCACTTGAAGCTTTGTGTTCCGTGCAATCTTGGTCCAAGCGAAGAAGGCTTGTCCAGGGTGGGGTAACAAGGGAAGTTCCTTGTTTCCTAGGGAATTTCTTAGTTCCCGATGGGAAGTTCCTTGTAGTATAAACTTGTTATTGTAATTTATTTTTCTTTGCGCTATTGTGTAGAAATCATTTATATATTAAGATTTATTTTCATTGATAAATACTTTTTATTTCAAGAAAATTGTCTCGGTAACTTGTAAGTTCGTTAGGCGCGTTGTCCGGAAATTACTTCTCGAAAGTTTAATAAAATATCCTCCCTACCAACTCTATATTTACTCGGAAGGCAGAGTAGAGTTTAACGTTTCCTTACTTGTAAGTAAAATAGGCAAGAGTTATCAATTAGCCTGTGTACATCCGCCCCTCCCCGCCAAAGAATTGGCGTCAGAGGTCTTTCTCCCCAATTTTTTTGAGGCGAGCGGCGGATTTACACAGGCTATTATCAATTAGTAATTGTTCGAATCCTTCGCGATCTTTTCCAATCTTTATAATCACCGTTCCCTTTGTTAATTACGTTAATAGACTACTATTTTAAGATATATTTTGATTTGAATTAGTTTTTGTAAATCACCAGAAAAAAAAAATGATGCAACCCTATAACACTGTAGGCTCGACTTCCAGTCCCCACCCCTTCCCCCTGAGGAACAAAACAAATTGAGCCTAACCTTCTAGCTGTTGTATTAATGTTCGAGACCTAAAAGATGGGGATAAAATAGTTTATAGATATCGCTTGCTTGGGCAATTTAACTTTATTGCGTAAAGATTAGGTGAGAAATTAATACTTCAGTATTCATTGGCATTAGAAGCTATGGTCATTTTGTGCTACTGTGTCATGCAAGGTTTTTTCTAATGAAAGATCTCCTTGCCTTGTGTTTGATACCTGTTAGGTCAAGCATAGCAAAGGTTCAATTCTGGGAGTGATAATAAATTATTATTTTTGATGTTTGTGGTTTTTTGTTACTTCTGTACTTTTCGTAGTCGGTAGCGTCACGCAACTTTTCTCAGCAGACGTTGTGTGACACGACCTGCAGATAACGGTGTTGAGCCAAGGATGTTTCAACTTTCCTGCTGGTGTTTCCTTCCGCATGGTGTCCATTCTATCACCAAAACTTGTTTACAATGAATAAGCGCAAGAAAAATCACTTGTCAGTGAAAGATGTTTCATTTTTTGGTAAGACTAATTACGTAGTGTGACAAATCAGGGTCATACTCTGTGCTTAGTTGCATCTTTGCCTACATTGTAGTTCCTTGTCCTCGATATTTCGCCTCGGTCAATCGTTTTCGGGTCAAGTAGTCGAGGCGAAATTCTTCTCGGATACGTCACTGAAGTCAATTGACCGTGAAGGCCTGGGAGAAAGCCGTACAGGAACCGGTTCCTGTACGGCTTTTTCCCAGGCCTTCACGGTCAAGACGACTGACTGGCATTGACCCAGGACAATTAATTAAACCTGTTGTACCAGTTTAATCATTGAGGAATGTGCGGCATACTGTAACAATTCGATTAGGTGTCCTTTAAATAAGTGCCCAGCCAACACCACAAGGCCAAATCGATTGTAAATATTATGAATATATAATACAATTTGATGTCCTTGTAAATACTATTTTACATGTTTCCATTTGAACGTTTTTCTTAGGAAAACGGGGAGGGGAAGGTTTACGAGGTTTTGTTTTGTTTTGTTTTTTTTTTTTAGGGCGAGGGGAGTCCCCTACGATAAGACTTTACCTTTAACATGTCTAAGGCCGGCTTTTCTTTTCACTCGTCTATGTGTTGTCGTTGCGGCCATTTTTAACCGGTGATCAGTAAGCTCTTGCGAGGTCTGGGGCCGAGAATTCGTTTCTGCATATTTAATAATAAAACAGGTTCAGCGATCGATTCAACATGTCTCCCGCTTGAATAAAGACCCGATAAGAAGTGAGAGCCCCCAGTGTTCAACGTGAAAACAAATCTGGGTGGTTTACTCTTTGGGAACAAGTAATTGTGGCAATACAATCATTATCCTGAAAGTGTGCTTTTTGTTTAACAATTTCCAAGTATTATCTTTTTTTCTTGAATTCGTTACAATTTTATTTCGCACCGACGATCCTATTGTATTTACTGTAGAATTTTAATGAACTTGAGTGAAAGTCTAACTCCACAGTCCCTTGACTCCCTAAGTCCTTGGTGCGGCTTTCAATGTTCGCGGAAGCGATAACAAGTCACGGACATCCAGACGTGTGGTGCGTTTTCATTGGTTCGCTTTCGTCACGTGGTATATTTGCACCAATCACAGTACACCACGCAGAAGGCCGGTGAAATCGTATTCACTCACATGGTTGCTTGTCACAGCGAAGAAGTTTCATTCGAAGGCTTTCTGGAGGTGTATCTGTTGTAGTTCGTGTTTTGTAAATTATGGCGCTTTGCCGTTTAGTTTTCCTAGCTCTAGTCTCTTGCACATTAGCACAGGACCCGACAATCTACTTCGTTGAGAAATTTGAAGGTGGGAAATAGTTTAAATCACTGTAATGTAATGCACAATTTTGTCAATTTCATTTCCCACAGCAAGCTCATTTTCTATCATTCTGATTTAAACTTCCAGAGCAGAGTTACCAAGATAGATGGATTGAATCTACTTTCAAGGGAAGTGACAGTGGAAAATTCGTGTGGACTGCTGGAAAATTTTACGGCGATGCCAACCTAGACAAAGGTAAGATTTTATTCTGCTTTAGACATAATATTGTAGTAAAAAAAAAAGATCAGAAATTGTGACTGAAAATTGTAATTTTTGAGTTGTTCAGCTGCAAAGCTGTTAGATTAAATTTGGCGAAAATAACTTGAAACAGTAGTCTCTCACCGGGCAAATGATTTAGCAAACAAAATGTTATTTCAACAGGTATTCAGACTAGCCAAGATGCGAAGTTCTACGGCATTTCTGCTAAATTCGAAGAACCTTTCTCGAACGAGGACAAGACTCTTGTTATTCAGTTTCAAGTAAAACATGAACAGAACATCGACTGCGGCGGTGGTTACGTTAAGGTAAGTCCTTGTCAGGTATAATTTCATCCCAAATCTCGCTTCCATTGTTTTGTAAAGAACATTGTGTTATTTTGTCTTCAACTGAATGCTAGATGAACAGCTAAGCAACATTTCAAATCTTGCTGTATCTAAATCTGCTTTACCTTAACTAAAACCTGAAGGCATTGTTCTTATTTTTCCATTAAATTTCCAGGTTTATGATAGTAAAGTCGACCAGAAAAACATTCATGGCGATACTCCATATCACATCATGTTTGGTAGGTGATACAAAATTATCTCTACAGAATTCAGATTCTTGTAAAGTCGTTCAATCAGTTGCCTTGAATACATGTAACTTTATGCTCATTTGATATGCAATCTTGCTCTTCTTTAGGCCCTGATATCTGTGGACCTGGTACCAAGAAAGTGCATGTTATCTTCAACTATAAAGGAAAGAACCTGCTTACTAAGAAAGATATCAGATGCAAGGTAAGAGAATTCAACAAAGGTGAATGAGAAAAACATAAAAATAGGCAAGATCTCTTACCCTTTCAAAGTTAATGAGATATATTGTAAATTTACAGGAATTTTGTGCAAAGCAAGATGGCCTTTGTCTAAACGTTTTGAAATTACACATGAAAGGTTCACACCATGGCCTTCCACTCTCCAGAGTTGAACTTGTTTTGGCTTAATCAGAGACTGAATTTCTGGAATCAATTGAGGCAATCGTTTTAAACTTAGATCTTAGGCAGAACATTTTACCCCTGTAGTGCCTCAATACACTCAAGAGTGTAATTAGGTACCAGCTTCCTGTTAGATAAACATGGGAAAATGCTTGAGGTTAACATATGATGGACTAGAATACCCTTCAGGGTAAAGTTGAGTCTGCATCTGGCTAAATGGTCCATATAGCCAGAGCTTAGTCTGATTTCCATAGCATAAAATGGCTAGGAGTAATTCTGCTCTTCCCCCCTCCCCTGGATGGGATACTAGTCCATCACAGGGTCATGTTCACCCTCCCCCAGCTTTGTATTCACGGGTACCCATTTATACACCTGGGTAAAGAGAGGCACTCTGAGATTAAACTGTCTTGCCCAAAAAACACAAAGCAATGACCCCTGGCAAGGGCTTGAACGCTGACTTAATCGGGAGTCCATCTCTCTGGCCATTAGTCCAGTGTTCTTTGTACATGCCCTAAAAAGATCAGCAATGTTCCTGGCCACTTCATGCTCATGTAACATACTAACAGAAACTGCAACATTTTTTTTTTCTCTCAGGACGATGAATTTACACATCTCTACACACTCATTGTGAAGCCTGATAACACTTACGAGGTGCGTATTGATGGCTCTAAGGTTGAGAGTGGTGATCTTGAATCAGACTGGGATTTCTTGCCACCAAAGAAAATTAAAGATCCAGAAGCTAAGAAACCTGAGGATTGGGATGATAAGCCAAAGATTGATGATCCAGAAGACTCCAAACCAGAGGTATATAATAAATATAAGTTTATCTTATGTCTGATAGCCCAGGGCTAGTGAATTTTATTCTGCCATCAGGCACTTGGCGCAATGGACAAGGGAGTTGTTTTCTTAGGAAAATATTTGAGGCAATACGAATCACAGAAGACTGTACTGACTGTAAGAGATAAAATTTTGGAGGGCTGGCAAGAACATTTTTCAGGCTAGCACATTATATGTTATGTAGTTATAGCTTACTAGAAGGGCAAGGTAAAAAATTGGTTTCTTTGCACCCTGCACTACTTATAGCAATCATAACATTTCATTTTGCATTTTCTAAAAGTTGCTCTTGAAATCTGGTGGCAGAGATATGACTAAGTCACAAATCTTGTGTTTTTTGGCAAAATGCCATTTGATCAACTCAACCAGCAACCAAGTTTGTTCTTATCTGCAAAGACCTTGAATTTGCAACCAAAAGCTTTCCATAAAATCATTTGTTTTTGACTTCTTGTTTCAACTCTGCAGGACTGGGACAAACCTCAGAACATCCCTGACCCTGATGCCAAAAAGCCTGATGACTGGGATGACGAGATTGATGGTGAATGGGAGCCTCCCATGATTGATAACCCTGACTACAAGGTTGGTGGAGAAACCTGTAAGCAAGATGTTTTATTTGCCTCTTGCTAGTTGGGTGTCTGTTCTTGCTAGTACTTCTACTGTTAAATCTTGATTTTCACCACTTTTTGATTGTCTGTCAGTCCTTATACAGCATGTGGTTCACGTAAGATTCTCTGATTAATCTATGCAAGTTCAAGTCTGTCAGTTTTAATGGACCATTAATCTATGCTGTTCACATGGTTTAGTAACTGACTGGTAACTATGGTGATCTGAACTTGGTAAAGTTTGGGTAGTGATTACTATTTTTAGGCTTGAGGCCTTTGAAATAATTTATTTCTCTGGTTGTGTGAACATTTGCCAACAACATCAATGCAGCTGATATCTTTGCGTTTGCATGAACTTTAATTTACCCTCTTGTTGTACAAATCGCGTTTAATTAATCTTTTTTAACAGCATTCTTTTTTGTGTGTTTTACTTCTCTTAGGGAGAATGGAAACCCAAGCAAATTGACAACCCTAACTACAAAGGAGAGTGGGTTCACCCAGAAATTGACAATCCTGAGTATCAACTAGACGACAAACTTTACAAGTATGATGACATTGGAGCCATTGGTTTTGATCTTTGGCAGGTAAGCTGCAGCGGTTGAGATAAGAGATGCAAAGACTTGCTATAAGTATTTTCCCAATCAGACAAAAACTAAGGAGTAAATGGAGAAATAAAGCCGCAACAGTATATGCTGTTAATTAAAACAGCCTTGGATTAGTTTTGGTTTCTTTTGCATGGAGTAGCTTTGACTGACTGCAGACTATTATTTTGCTGCCATCTTTGATCATAATGTAGGTTTGTTTTTTGTCTTTTTTCAGGTCAAATCAGGAACTATTTTTGACAACATTCTTGTAACAGATTCTGTTGAGTACGCTGAAACATTTGCTAAGGAAACCTTTGAGAAGACTAAGGAAGGTGAAAAGAAAATGAAGGATGAACAGGATGAAAAGGAACGTAAAGAAAGAGAAGAAGAAGAGAAGAAGGCGAAGGAAGAAGAAGACAAAAAGAAAGCTGAGGAGGAGGACGAGGAAGAGGAAGAAGAGGAGGAAGAGGTGGGTGCAGATTCAATTTCCTTGTTTTAAGGCCTTGTCCTTGCTACTCGGAGAAATTTGAAAATCCACCTTTATTTCTACATTTAGGCCTCTGCCCACTGTAATTAGTCACGAAAACGGGGCTTTTCAAAAACTCTCTTAAAACCAGAGAAATTTGAGAACACCGGCTTAGTGTTTCAGTGTAGACGGAAAACAGAGCTTTTCTAAAACAATGATGTTGTGACAATCATGTGACTTGCCTGCCTGAGTTTTCTTCAAGCAAAACTCTAAAGTGACTAGACTTCATCAGTGCAAGTGTCACCTCTACAAAAGAGCATCAGGTCATGCCCTGTAGCCAGATAAAAACTGAATCCCAAAGATGAGGAATTGAGATGTTTTTGGAAGGTAGCTAAACATAGCGGTTGATCTACTTCATGTGTATAATCCAATTAGTTCTATTATCAGTTGAAAGTTCAACCATAGTTATTAGTGTGTTGTTGCTACTGTTATAGGAGGAAGAAAGCAAAGAAACAGAAGAGGAAGGCAAAGAAACTGAAGAGAAACCAGAAGAGGGTAGTGAAGAACCAGACACTCCAGAGACTGCAACTGAAGAAGAGGAAGAGGAAACAACAACAGCAAAGGACGAGCTTTAATTGAATCACATGCAACTAGGCATTTTTAATGAAAGAAGAGAACTCTATAATGTACACAGCACCTCATAATGTGTGCCCTTGTTGCTAGAAAGCCGAGGCCTTTTCTCATGAGATGCATTTTTAGCCTCTTTTAAAGCTTAACTTGTGAAAACATTGAAATGCTGTTTTGGTAAACTATCGCAATATGCTGTCTACTCTTTGAATAGTTATTTTATTTTCTCTTGTGAGAGAAGGCCTCATCATCATTGTTCGTCATTGCTTGTCTCATCTTGGTTTAGATACTAGCACTAATTTAATTTCATGTTTAATAAAAAAAAATAAACAACTTCATAACACGCTTATACTTTTTTATGGTGGGCTTCTGTATTTAATTGATTAAAAATTTGTGTCACATTGGTAACAATATTATATTTTTAACTGACAGCCAGTACCCGAAGTAGCTTGTTCAAACGGCACACAGTTGCCAGTCTAACAATCAATCAAATACTTCATTGACTCTGCGTCTAATCATTCTAGAACCTGCTGGAAAAAAGTTTTGAGGTAATATATCAACATGGAAGACCATGTTTGACCACATTTTCAAACACTGAAAAGGGAGTTCATTCTCCTTCGATATTACATCTTATTAACTTGTGAATCACAAGGAGAGATTGAGTGACATCACATCGAGAGTATGTTTGGGCACCCCTTAAATTGATATTAACTGGGGAGACAAACTAATACCAAACTAATGCCACTCGTGTGCAGAGATTATTAACACACATGGAACTGGGGATTGACTGTAATGGCTTTGCATTTTCAATAGTTGCTGGAACAGGGTTGCACATTTTGGGATTTAGGGGGTAACAAAATTCTGTTGAGTAGGGATTTAAAGATTTGCAGTCAAAAAGTTATAATTGCTGTTCTACGTTCAGCTTTTTCTAAGGTAGACGCATAAACAGAAAGCGACCTAAGTTGGGATTGCAGAAATTACTTTGCCCAAAAGTGACTAAGATTGAGTCTAACTGGTCACAGAATAGACTATAATGGGGTAGGGGCTCTGACAGGCCAGTGGCACATACCCAGCAGAAATTGGTCCAAGTACCCCAGCCTGTGAACAGGCTCTCTAGTCGAGGATACTGTTCTTTTTTGGCCCTTCCAGCCATACGCAAGTTAGGAGTACTCCTTCCACGCTGGACATGTAGGTTGGTTAAAGGTTTAAAAGGAAGGCCTGGGAGTGAGGAAAAAGGTCAGGGGGTACCCAAGGGTTCCTTTGGCTTACTTTGGTCATCCCCCTTTACCACCCTCAACTGAGGGTAGAATTATTCCAACTGGTTGGGAATTTTGGTTTGTTTCTAGTACTTAATATCATTGTGCAAAGAAGAGGGTTGAAAAAAATTCCCTTGCCCAGTCAGGTGTTTGGTCAGGGTTTTTTTGGTAATTTTTCCGACTAGGACTAAGTAAGAAATAGTACCCAGGTAAGTGAAGGAGGCGTTACCCATACTCCAGTCTCATGATCCTTACAAGTCAGCCACCACCTTTATTATTTAAATTAATCACTCTTTCTCTGAGTGCTTGGTGACAAGGTCTGTCACCGTCTCGACAAATTTAAAATAGTTGTACTTGATGTCATATTCCATGTCATACCAAAAATTAATGGCAATACACCCATGGGATTGCTGAACGTGATGAAACCAAAGAGAAGGCAAATATAGCATCTCTCCTGCCTGCACTGTGCAAGAAACAGGGTTGGCTTTCGCATATTTTGGATATGTTTTAAGATCTGGATTTAACGGATCAACAGCTATCCAAGGAACTTTGGGCGCTGGTGAGAGTTCTGTGAGGTGTTCGACAATTTCATCAACAATTTCAAAATCTCCACTCTCCGTGGTTCTAAACCTTGCTGGTGTGTAGAGTTCATAAGGAATCAATGGGAGATCACTCGGTGGTAACAATGTGAAGACTTTCTTGCCCGAGATCACGCAATACAGGTTTTCGTAATGATCTTTGTGTAACGAGGTGATGGCTCTTTCATCTCCCATCCAAAAGTTCACGGCATCTGGATGTTTACCAAATGCTTCAGTTGCCCAAGATACGTCAGAAGCTGCATCCGCGCACAATTCTTGAAACTCCTCTGTTAAGTTCGAGTTTTGTTTCTGAACGTAAAATATCCCTTCCTCCTTGACGTTTCCCTCGAGGATGTCCAAAAACGTGGAAAACTTAATTTCCCGTTCCTCTGGCATGACAAATTTATTTCCTACCACTGCATCAGCGTACCCGTTTGGTGTCACAGCAACAGTTATTCTCCTGTGACCGATTTTCTCTCTCAAATAATCGTCATTCCATTTTTCAAGCGCTGGCCAATGATTGAACGCGTTCTTGATGATTACAGGAACATTTGGGTTTACCCAATCTCTTAAAAATTCCAAGGGACTGGGAGGTATTTCAAGCTTTGGAACCTCTGAGCTGAGATAAAGTTCTCTCGCTTCGAGTGATAAGTTTTCTAGTGCTCCTGATAGTGCGTTAATGGCATCCATCGCCTCAGAAAAGTGTAAAGCCAGAATTTTGCATTCCGTCCGCCATGATGGATTGAAAGCTCGGCTGCTAAGCCGTCGCTTTCGGTTCCAGTAATGTCTTTACTTTATCTTCCATCCAGTTGATCAGTCTTCTTCTTTCATGTTCGCTATAAAAACATGCTCCTTATTCTTTCAGAACAGCAAAAGGAGCACTTAAAGTTCCTGACATCATTGGAATTCGATGTAGTCCTCGAGTTTGCTCGAATTTCCCTGGATTCTATTCTAAAAGGCTCTTCTAATCCCAAAATCTTCCAGGCGGCCGCCCAGAAGCTTGGCGTTGAAGTCAACACGGTCAAAAATGGGATTAGCGGCTTGCAACATGTCTTAACAGAGAGCTCCCGTTTGATGATTGGCGAGATTGACTTTCAGGACTCCGTCATGACGCTCGGTTTCTCCGAAGAAGTAATTGGGGCATTGCTGAAGATGTACTTGGAAAATCGAAAAGAAATTAGGAACATATTGGGAGAAATGAGCTTTGGAACACCTCATTATCACGATCTCGAGTGGAGATTCGATGTGGAGCTGGCCAGCAGATCACTCCAGCATCAAACAAATCCTGTGATTATTATGAGGCTTCATACCAAGGAAGGAGAAAAGAAAAGTGCGGACGTTCTTCAAACTGATCCTGTAAACCTTCTTCACCTCACCTCTGAGCTGGAAAATGCCATGCAAGAAATGAAGACTGCACATTGCCGAAGAATTGTTAGGAATATAAAATGAACCATGCAAAAGAGCATGCAGTTAATCCTAGGCGAAGTTAACAGGCATTTATTTCATCATAATATTACACTTAACCCTCTGATAGGATGGTTACCATTTGACCAAAAATTCTGAGAAGTTTCTGGGAATTTTTGTTAGAAGGTCACGTATGTATTGAGGTACCGGTAGTCTAAACATACCAATTGTTATGAGCCATCGGAAATGTTTGTACCCTTTGTTTAATTCTCTTATTGCCAGTCTTCCATCAATGGAAAACAATGAGAAAAAGAATTATATAAATAGATTATTATAATTATAAATGATAACTGCCCTCTCTATTGGCTGTTTTGCTAATCTGGGTAAAATGTTTACTTTGGTTACCGTTATTCAATAGGTAGAAGATGCCTGAAATTTTACCCCTGAAAAATCATAGTCAGTGTCGTTTATCAGTGATCCACATATTGAACTGTACTCAAATGGTTGTTCCAACCGAGTATAAACACGGAATAAATCTTTGTAGGGCAACGTCATCTGTGTCTTGTTCTTTGTTGCAAATCTCTGATTTTTCTCTTGGGAAATAGACTGAACACAAGGAAAGCCATGTATTATTTTACTTCATAATTATGTAATATGGGACGTTAGAGAATGTATCTCAGTGTCTCTTTATGGAACATGTTCTCTGGTGATTGTAAATCTAGAGCTAGTGTGAATCACTGACTCGAGTGCCTATTTACAGGATCTTTAATGACGTTGTCTTGACTCGAAAGTTACACTGTAAATGAAATAATAATAGTAAACTCCAATCTCTGTTGACTACTGAAGGTAATTTAGAATAATGATTTTGAAGCCATGCTTTTCTTGATTACCAAGTTTTAAATCAAAATGTTTAGAGAAATCCTGCTGGAGATTATTAATCCCCATTCTTGGCCATCCTAGTTGTGCTCTTGATTTAGTACCTCATTTTTGTTTTCCTTAAACTATAATTTTGAGGTTTGATACTTTGTATGCGGCAAAATGGGAATAAATAATGAACATCTGACAGGCCATAACATGCTGTTTATAAGGTCTGTGCACATACAACATAGTCTTCATATTAGGTTTCAAGTGGGCTCATAAATGGAAGGAGAGGGTACATTGCGGTTAGGGGTGTGTTTTATAGTGGTATTTTAAATCTTAAATTAACTGTTTTAGAATGGGATTGTGTTGGACTCTCGTGTATTTGTCTTTCATGTCTCTAGTGACAGGTGCAAGGGCCATTCAGTTGGAGACTTTAAAAGCAGCATTATACAGTACTAATTTGATGTGTCCATACAAAACTTGAAAACTTCTTGTTCTGAATTAAGGAGACTTGTAATAAACTATTATAGCTCAGAAGAGACTCATTTGACAGCAGGTAGCAGCGCTGATTTTGACCACTTTTTAAGATGGCTTCATAAGTTACTTGGGTAAAGAAATGGCAGCACATGATTGCAAGGTTGGGTGTAATATTGTTGCGAATATACAATACTTTCCTGTATTCTGATTGGCTGTATGTTCTATGCCATGGTATAAATACTGGTATAATGTACTATTTATTTGCCATTTCATTTTACAATACAATAATACAATACAATAACTTAATTGACTCTCCACTGGTGGGACTTCTCAAGCCTCACAGATGCAATCCGATAAGAAACAGTTCCACAAGCTGATGCATGCTTCCATGGCTAGTGAGTAGCCTGAAATGTCAGTCATTCTACCGCTTGCAGACTTATCTCCAGGCAAGAGTGTCTTGCCCAGGGATGAAGCTGAGGGTAAGAGATGATTGACCTTTCAGGCTAGGCTTGTGGGCTGGTTGAAAAGAAGTTCTGGGCCAACAAATGACAACAAATTATCATTCATCCTTATCAATAATTGGGGTATCTCACAAAATGCTTGCCTCCATTACACAGGTATGGCAAGCCGTTTGTAGCAAAATTAAATC